CTCGAGTTCCCGTTGTTTAGCCGAGGGAGACCGCCAATTTGGGGGGTCCGCGAAAGACACACCTAAATACGACCATCCATGACGCACTCATACGAATACAGCTCCTTTCAACATTGTAACCTTGGCACTTTTCATGGGATTCCGGCCTCCTGGACCCTCAAGTCCACATCCCGGAGCGGGGTCTCGGGGCTTCTCGCTCCGCCTGCGCTTTCGGCAGGTGAACGCGGGAAGTCTTGCAAGTAGACCGCCAGAAGGCGTCTCCTGAGCCGAATGACGTGTCAGGCTGCCATGAGCAGTCATTGCCAAATTGCACACCCCGAGCGCTGCACGGCCACACTTTGAGAGTCGCCTCGCAACTCGACATCTCCAGGTAATTGGTTTCGAACCACAACTGTTGCAACCTGGTCATGGAAAAACCGCACCTACCGAGGTGCTGGAGGGCTGCGAGCCACCAATGCTTTCTTCCTAAGAGGAGAAGTTTGCGACCATTGGCACATTGACAAGGCGACAAAAGGTGACAAGTTGTTCAAAACAAAAAATGAACAAAGCGACAGGTCAGCAAGTCGACATCTAGTTTCAAGGCATCCGGCGGGCACGGTGGGCAATGCGGCAGGTACCGTCACTTCGGCCTGAAGAAGAACGATAGCACCGATTCGCACAAAAGTCGCACCGGTGCTCACCTCCTCAGAAGCTCTCACAGGCGCCTGCGATGGGCCCCGTGGAGAACGCTCAATTCGGATTCAGGGGATGGCAAGGTGACGCATTACTGGTCCTTAATGGCCCCAAAAAGGTCACTAGTCAATTTTGTGCTGCAAGGGTTGTACAGATTGGCTCATCAACAAAAAGATTCGGGGGATGCTGACCCCTTTAAGAAACCCAAATGCCTTGGATAGCGGGCACATTGCTTCATGACGTCGTCGAAGCACGCCAAACCCGTCAATGAGGAAGATGGCTGCTCGCTTGCCGCAATGCTGGCCTTCAATGGCCAAGGCTGCCACCGAATTTACTCTCTTTTCTTGCAAGACGTGTACATGTGCCATATATACATATATGCATATGCCACCCGCGCGGCTATATTATCTGTGTACTGAAAACATATTGATATAATTACATTAGATATTCGAGGACTTCCTTCTGCAGGGGTCTCTTCAAGTCACTCTTGCTTCGTTGCCCATGACTTAGCTTGTCTGTCCCACGAAGAGTTGTGGATTGCGCCGTCCCGCTGCTTAAGGCATATGACCGTCCCACCTGCGAAGGTGCTGGGAATAAGGCTTGGGAGAATCGTCCAACTGCATTCTTCCCACACATTTCTTCAGCTCCACTTCAAGTGGCTTCAAACAGTTACGGACAAGCATTGTATCGACAAAACAGTGGTGATGCTGCAGCGTCGACCAATTTCGTCTACAGACCAGAGCGGCAACTTTTAGGCAGCACCAAAAAAGGTTGCTTGATACTATGGGTGTCGGTTATTTTAGTCTAAAAAGGCCGCCAAAAGCACGACAAATCAGGTCGAGCTCGCAAAAGTGCGATTCCGTAATTCGCTTTGCAAGGGACATTGATTCTGATGCAGTTGCGTTTTTTTGCTGCTTCACTGCTTGCCGCGCATGTCTGGACCGTGAATTGTCCCGAAGTTGACCCTCGCATCGAGCAGGGTAAAAGTCGCCTTTGAGCACGCCGCGGGAAAAAAGACATTGAGCGGACTATTTAGTGACAATGTGGTAGATGTATGAAAAATCGTTTGATAAAATGACGACTTTGACCAATTGTTGCGCCAACAACATTGTAGTAATGTGTTACAATGGTATGACTTCTTACTTGAACATGCGTCCAGCTGCTGCAGGTCACTGAGCCAGGTTCACCCTAGTATGTACATACATATTGCATTTATGCATATATATATATATATATACACGTATATGCACATGCTAAGACCCCCTCCCAATACCAAGGTGTTTGCTTTATCTGACTTGTGGGGTAGATGATCTCCAAGGCATCCAGACGAAGAGGTGGCTTGCAGCAACCAAATGGAAAGTGTCTAAACTCGTTGCTGCTGCTATTCAACATGACAATGTGCAACCGAAAATGATTACCAATAAATGAAGCATGTGCAACAACATCTTACCCAAAAAACATGTGCAACAACAAATGTCTTACCCAAGAAACATGGGTATCACAGGCGGGGAGGTCCTTCCATGTGCTCACCCCTGCCCGTTAAATAAGAGGTGTTGCATAGTCTGCATGTAGAAAAGTGGCGGGGGCTCAGCAAAATGGTCAGCCCCCCCTGCAAGGGCCCACCTCTCACCATGTTTGTTGCAAAGTGCTATATATCTACTCTGCGCTTCTCGTGTTTCCACATGCCTGAAAACACTGCAAAATACGGTGTTTTTGATGACTGTGTATTTTCGCTATGGTAGCAAGTGTTTCGTCGTTTGAGGATTGAAAAGCAAAGTCGAGAACGGACTCCGTTTTCGGATTCAAGTATGACTTTGTTTGAAAACATTGGCTTGCGAAAGGAATACGAATTCAACATGGACATTCTGATTGAACTCTGTCCTTATTCGATTATATTTGAGATTCCAAGTGAAATTTCATGCAAATCATGTTTGTACAGGCACTCATTCTTAAGCACTGATTTATAATCCAAATTCTGGTTGATTCTGTTTCCTCAAAAAAACAAAATGTTTGCTTAGCCAGATTTAACCTAAATCTGTTTGGGAATGAGTTCCCATTTAAAGTTTGTTCAAAGGCCAACTGAGTTCTTTCCTTCAACTCCTATGTAAGAAGGAGTTCCTATGTAAATTCGAGCTGAATGTAGAAATTCTTGTGACCTCTGGCAGGCGCGGCTTCTTGTCATAGAGTTTTTAAGGGGTCCCACCAAATTCACCTTGTTATTTTGCAAGAATATTTGAACTATAATAAGGGCAACATAGTAGAAACATAAGGCCTGAGATTCAGGACAGTATAGCCTTTGTTCCCTTGCCCTGAGTTCCATTAAAGATCATGCCAGCACTGAGCCACTCAAGATCTGCGGCTATTCTTGTGTAATGTCTGAACTGTCTGGCTTTGCTGGGGCTGAGTCACTTACCAGCAGGTATGGTCTTATTCATGCGTGCGCTGTCGGGAATGCTGTGGCAGCTGGCTAGACACTGGAAAATACGTGCTTTTACATGCTAGTGCCAGCTATTTAGTTGCTATTAACAATTTCCAGCTTGTTGTTTGGATTGCAGTTTATTATGTCCTTATTTTGGGCTTATTCAAGCTTATTAAAGTTCATTAAAGCTTGTTAAAGCTGTTTCTTTGGGGGGGGATTTTGGGGGACCCATTTTAAAAAGTCGATGACCGACGCTTCCTTTGCTCGGTAGCCCCTGTATGTCTTGAAACGCCCAGCTGTTTCCTTGAGCAAACCTGGATCTTAAGGTGCCTTCCCCGGTTTTGCTGAGGTTGTCTGTGTTCGTCTGCATTGTCTTCCCGCACCCCTGTTTTCTGGTTGTATTCACCGTACTCTTCCGGTAGTCTTCGTTGTCTTCCTTTGGTCTCCGCTGTCTTTCCGCAGTCTTCCAGTAGTCTTTGTTCCTCCCATCGCACCGCACGTCACTCGCGGCGCGATTCTTCTCCAAATTGTCTTCCGTTCGTGCTCGTAGGGTCTTTCCGTAGGCCTGGACTGCTTGCTTCGTTGCCTCCAGTTGCGGCAAGGCAGCTTCCTGGGCCACTTGGTCCTGTCTGCGTCTGTTGGGCGATTTCGCTCGATGAGCCCATCCAACAGTCAAGACTGCATAAAGCAGACTTGTAAATTTACAAACTTCAACACTGCACTATAAATCAGTCGGTTATGTGATCTATACTAATCTAACAATCTCATGTGTCCTTGCAAAATGTACATGTATCATCACAACAATCAAACACATGTTCTGATCTTTAGCAGGACCCCAACTCAACTCCAGGTTCTCCTCAAAAAAGGGACTTTCTACACCCAAACAAACTCCAGTATGCCCATTTTTTAAGCAGGACAACCTTGGTATTGGGGGGTCCTACCGCATAAATATAATGTTTATATACATATCATTATATATATATATATATATGTAGTATAATAAATATATATATATATATGTATATACACACACTATAATACAAATATATCAGAAAGGGGTGCCCTGAATGACACGTCAGAAATTCACCGGTGTCAAATGCTGAGTGTCCCTGTCCGCTGGCTCTCGCCTTTGTGCCTGGCAGCTGGGCGCCTGGCAGGACGATCTGCTGCATGGGCGGACAGTCCTCGGACAGGAATGGCCACTGGGGATCGTCTCCAAAAAAAAAAAAAACTACCATGGCATCTGGAGGGTGCCGGTAAGATCAGTTTCCTCTTGGAGGGACCTGTCAGTTGCCATGTTAGTGGGAGAGAGAGTATCAAACTTTGGCTTCCCTTGAATTCAGCCTCCCACTAGAAAGGGGTTTGGATTTGGATTTGAAGCCCTGGTTCTTGCAGAGGGCAAATGGGAAACCACCACTTAACCCCCAAACCACCAATCCAAACCAGCAACAAGGGAAAGCCGATGAATACCCCAAAAGGGTATGCACAAAACCAGACACCCTCTCTCTGTCTCTCTCTCTCTCTCACTCCGGTTTCTTGGCTGCGGGCATCCCGGCCGGACGAAGGCCCGATTCTTCGCCAAAGGGCAGCGGCAAGTCCGCCGAAGGGTTTGTAATGGCGCCTCCCATTTTGGAGGGGTTGCTTTTGGTTTCCCTGCAAAACCAAAACGACTTCCCTAAAAAATGGGCGGGGGCGGGGGGGTGACCCTGAAACATAGTTGGGTTTCCTGGTGGTTTCCCTTTAAGACAAAACCGCGCCGACTACAATAGCAAGGGGTGGCCTGATTTGGACTGCTTCCTACTCTCAAACTAGCCACGTTTTGGTGCTCACATGTCTCGAAGCACTGCAAGCGGCGCCCCGACGCGATTTTCTCCCAAGGCACACATTTGGCCACTTTCCAGCCCATGCCCAGGGAGAGCGAACTCTCGGGGGGCCTTTGCAAGAATGAAGATAAGCTCTTGCGCATACGTAAAGAACCCCCTGAACCGGTGAGACAGCTTCCCCTTGAAGGGAATCATGCATGTGCATTCGCTTTGGCACGCCTCAGGGCGACGCAGATCGCAGAACAATACCGTGCTATCTTGGTGTCGAGTCATGCTTCAACCCTCACCTCTTGCACTTCTCTAATTCATGTAGAAACATTGCGACTCTTTTAGTCAGGCCGCGGCCTAGCGTTCGGCTTTCTCCATCAACAGCTCCACCGCTTTGTTCATGTTGCCATCGCAATTGTGCAATGCCTGTGCAATGGTGAGCGAAATTTGAATCAAACGGACGTGTCTCCATACCAAATGGACGGAGAAAAGAAAAGTGCGCCCATAGGCTTTTGTGACGAATTCAGCAAAGTTTCTGTGTTGTTCATCTACTCATGATGAACCACTCGTAACATTGACAAATACTGTGGATGGACCTAATCCTGCACCAGTTGGTAGGTGGTTTATCCCAATATTCATGGAGCTATCCTCCCAACTGGTGCGAAGTGGATGTTGCCCATCCACAAAATTGGCTTTTTGGCCATAATGTTTAATGGGGAACCACCTCCAAAGTGCTTGGTGGGCATGAATCCCCACCTAAATGATGTCCGCCGAAGGGTCCCCCATTGAGATTCACACCCATGTCCCACCAGGAGGAAGCGCCATTTTGGCATGCGACCTTCCATGCGACCCGTGCCTGGATACAAGCCTCCTGGTCGGTGAAGCCCATATTGCGCATGGCCTGCACTCCACTTGTCTCCATGAAACCCGCAAAGGGGCATTTTCCCTTCTGAAGGATTTTGGGAGTCCAAAATCATTTGCAGGTATGTTCAATTTGGGATGTTTGGGCATGGTACTCTGATGTCCCGCAAGATCCAGCGAAAACCTCGATGTTTCAAATCATAGTGACCGCGTTAATGGGTGCGCCTCTTTTTTGTGGGGAACCCCGTAGTTTCCTAAAAAGGGGGTACCCAGCCTCAAGCAAACGCTCCACCCAAATTGACCCCGGCTCACACGAGCTTCCGATGCGCCTGCAGCTGGCCCTTGTATCTGACCTCCGGACTCTCCTGCTCCGCGGAGAGGAACATGGAGAAGGCCCTCGGGAGCGCCATCGATTGTGCGAAAATGGCATTTCAACCAGCATCCGGGGCTTGTCTTCAAATGGGGGAACCCCTCAAAAGGGTTGCTTGCTTTGTATAAGTGTCCCTTTAAAACCATCCACAGGCACCCTCCAAGAAAAAGAACAAAACACCCACTTGCTTCCCCAGAAGAGGCTCACTTTGCAACCTTTGCGATCTTCGCCGCATTCCAATTCTTTCTGGGACCAGCGACCTTCAAAAGAACTGCATCTACCAATTACACATGGTCACATGCTGAGGAGAAATGGCTGCGGTTGTCAAAAATAGGGTAACCCAAAAAAATGGGCTGCCCTGGTAAATGGAAACTGGGACGAACACCTGCGGTCCCCTGGTATCATTCTGTTGAAACAAACTGCCTATCGCGCTCCTCGTGCCAAGGCCCACACTCCTTGAAGTTGTGTGCAGGACTTCTGTAGTGCAACCCGCTGAGCGCAGCAGGCGAATCCTGGCAGCTTGCAACATCGGATCTAAAAATGGGCGGGGACCTCCAAAATGCGTGCTGTTCCTTTCGGTTGACCTGGACTGAAAAGAAACCAAAATTGGTGGACAAAATCATTTGCTTCCCCAAGAACACGGTGAGGAAGTTGGGTGGTCTTCGTCCAGTGGGTAATTCGGCGTTGATGGATACGCGACACATGCCGGCGTGGCATAAGCAGGGCCCTCATCTTTGATATCTTGGCCCTGGCAAGGAACTGACTAAGCCTCCCTCACATGGAAAGCACAAGGCTCAAATGCTGGTGTTGAGCGTGAAGTGTGTCCAGTCTTTTGTTGTACCCAGAATGAAGCAGTGGCACCTTCTTCTTGCTTGCTGGACCTGTAGTCTTTGCGCCGTCCGTCATTGACCTGAGTTTTCAGCCACGCACTGCATTGCCTCCCAGAACGCTGACTTTGTGATTGAGACCGCAGCAGCTTTTCAACAGAGTCCTGCAGCTTGACCATGGAGTCGATTGTCTGCGCGTGAAACATCTGCCTCGCCGCGAAAGCGTTCCCGTTTTTGCCCCCTTTCGGGACGAGGAATCCAGGTGCCGCGCCCAATGAAACTTGGATCCAGAAACGGATCGTCAGGGTGAACTTTGATCCCTGCCCTCGGCCATGCAACGAAGGAAAGCGCAACATTGTGGGGCCTGCAAGCTTCCAAGTTGGCAGGCTTCCCAAATCAGCGTGCAAAACCTAACCGTGGGTTCTGGATGTCGAGGCTTATATTCACCAAATGGCCCATAGGAATCCAATGGTTTTGGGTGCAACGAAATAACTGAGCTGTTCGCCCTGGCGTTGCTTGAACCAGCTGCGCCAGCAAGGATTGCATGTTCTGGTCCTGTGAAAAGCAGGGTTGGGCAAACTGAATTGACTTGTTGAAACACGTGAAGGGTTGGGCTTTTGAGGGTACCTTGCCGGTACTTTTTTGGGGGCTGGTTTAAAGGGAAGCCAAATGGACTGGTTTTGGGGGCTCCCCCTATTTTGACCTCTGGGCTTCCCTTTCAAGATGTCCAGGGTCTGGTTGCTTTAACCTGTGTTGTCCAACACTCGGAAGGACCGACGTTCGCCCTTGCCTGCATCATTGCCGCCATGGCATTGGTGTCGAAGGTGCCTTGCCAATGTTACCCAAATGGGCATGGGTCCAAATTCAACCACCAGGAACCGCAGGTTCTTCGAGTCCATGTTTCCATTTGCCAGGGTTTCACTTTGGATGCCTACTTTTGATCCGCAGCCAAATGGCGTGCACATCCATCCCCACAAAGTCAACTTTAGACGGAAGACCAAAGGAGCTGAGGAGCGCCAAAGGCTTAGGCGACAGTCGGGCAATCTTCAAATGTCGAGGCCCGACCCCCGGAATGGCTTGGGCATAGACCCACCCACTCTGGTGCTTCGACGCCTTCATCCTCTTCCTGCAGGCAGCTCAGACCAGAAGCACCAAATGTAGGGGCAAACCTCCTTCTGGTCATGGTCATTGCTGCCTTGGGAATCCTTGCCTTGGGTCTAAAATCCTCCCTTCGCTAGTGACAGGCTGCCTTTGATTGCACAAATTTGTCTCCTCCTCCGGTGCCACCTGCGTGAAACCCGAAAACGGGCTGCGTGAAGGCTTCACGCGAGCTCTGCTTGCACGGGGCCGCACGCCGCACGCCGCGCCTCGTCGGGCGCCTTATCAGCGTCTGCCTGGGCATCGTTTCAGCGGTTCTCCAATTCCCATGCCACTCCTTCATGGCACTCTTGTCTTGCTGAGTGCCACTCCCCTTCGCCTTGCCTGTCTTCACCTACCAGTTTCATTGGACAGAGAGGAGGCATGGAAAATATCTGCCTTCTTGGTTGCTATTGACCCCCTGCAAAAAGCTTGACTTTTTTTGGGTCCAAAGGAAAATCCACTATGTCCCCACCCAAAAAAAGAAACAAAGAGCCAGCCAAATAGCCAAAAAGCCTTGAGGCTCATCGTCGAAGTCATCTGCGCCGTGCATCTTTCGCTGACTCTTCAACTTTTCTGCCTGTCAGTGATCAAGCTGGGACGCTTCGCAGCTATCAAAAAGGGAATGATCAGTATTGCATTCGGCCCCCAAATCACCATGGGACCATGGGTAGCTTTTCCCATGTGGGAAAATAATATGTTTAGTGGTTTCCCCAATGGTCATCCTTTTTATCAACCCTCAGTTGCCCTCCGAGCCTTTGCACCCCCCGTCTTCGTGTAAGAAAATCCGAAACCGTCTCAGGCTCTTCTGCCACGCTTGCACAGCGCCTTCTCAGCTTCCTTCTTCTGCGCGTCCGCTGCTGCAAGCAAGCGCACGTATTCTTCATCCTGGAAAACCCAGCGAGATTCCCAGACCAAAACGTCAATCACTTGCGATCTCCTGTAACGGCCTGCGGATGTCTTCGCACATCTGCCTCCAGTGCAAAGGATTCTGCCAGCATCCCAAATTTGTGAATCGCGCCTGAGCACATCGAAGGAGCCACTTCCCAGCCCCTGCCAAGATGCTATTTTGCTGCCATGCATGCGCTCTGCCGGCATTCAAGCGCGGTGTGTGCTGTCAAAGGAAAGTGCAAAACGTGAAAAGCAGTTGTTGGTGATCAGCTCATAATGAAACCCTGGCACGTCTGCCTCCAACTGCGACATGGATCGATCCGTGCTGCGGATGACATCACCTCGCCCCGCACAGCTCATGGCTGAGGAACATCTACTATCCCGCAGATTCACCCTGGGAATCCCCCAAAAACAATGATGTTCTTTAGGAATCTCTCTTTAGGAGACCCCTTTATGGGGGTTCTTCCTTTTCAGCAATTTCCAGGTGCAAAGGTCGTAAGGCCAGTACGGACATGCACTGGGTTCCGCAAAGCTTCGGTGGCCTGGCACCATGCAGCGCGGACCCAAAAAGGAGCGGCCTTGTTTCATTGCTGTTTTCTTCGCGGCCCTTTTGAATCATTGAATCTTCAAAGAAAGGCGGCCGAATTGGGAGTAAGACATAGGGGCGACAAAAAACCACTATATAATATGGCACTGGACAGGAACTGGATTCCTTAGAAGAGGAAATTGATCTTCCAGGTACCAGCCCACTGGTGGCTTTCTGTGGGAGGAACGGTAAAAAGAACTTGGCTGTCCGTTTTCTCATCCATCGCTTGAAGTTTAACCTTTGGCGGTCTAGTGGAATCTATCACTAAACCTAAATCTGCGCCTGTTTCATGACCTCCGGGTCATGCAGCATGAGGTTCAGCTCGGGACAGCTCTCCAGGAGCTGCAGGGTGAGCGAGTTAGGCGCGCGGATCTCAAGAAACAATCATCCAATTCTTGCTGGCTCATTTTTTTTTGGGCACCCCCCAAAAGGTGGTCTTCCTCTTGGTTTCCCTTTAAAGCCACCAAACAGGGGGTGCGATTCGCCTCGAAAAAAGACGAGACACATGGTTCCCTTCATCTTGCTGGTCCGACAGGTAGGGAATGACCTTCCGGGATACTCCCTTAACGGAAACTATCGGGGATCGTTTATAGGGGTCTTTCCCTCATTCCCTTCTGAGAACCAGCAAGAAAAATTTTTGGGGGGTCTCACATTATGAGACAAGCCCATACAGGTGTTTCCTCCAAAATGGTGGACCCAGCGCTAAAAGGAAACCAAATTCTGGGGGAGTTCCCAAGATTCAATATCAACTCTGGTCCTTGGACAGGCGGGGATCCATCTTCAACAAGCTCCGCATGAAATCGTGGTCATTCAGCAAGCTCTGCATCGCCGGCGACTGGCAAGCGCCAGTCGATTCGCAGGTAACTTACGCGAGAAACCGGCGAATGAACCTCCAGCATCTGCTGCAGGATGTCGGGATTCTGAAGGACATGTCTCCTGAGCTTTGGGTCAATAATAAGGTGTAGTAGGTATCCAAACTGGAACCCTGCTACATGTGAGCAAAAACTTTGAGTACCTTGGCCGAAAACTTGACCCGTACTCGGGGGTTTTAGCATGAACTGAGAGGCCCGCTGGAGTGCGGCCAGCTGCGTCGGCATCTGGCTGATATCAACGCCGCTCGGGCCCTGCCATCGCTCAAGAAAGGCTTCAGCATCCGCGAAGAAAATGTGACAAGCGAAAACGCCATAAGGAAGAGCTTCATCCCCAGGGAAAGTACTCATGTCTGGTCACGAGCTGCAAGCAGACATGGCTTGCAACATTGAGCGCCCAAAACGAATAGATCTTTGGCTTTACCACGGTTTATAAGGCTATCCTCCCATGAAACCTAACCAAATGAAACCAAATTGAACCAGGCCAAATCGGTGGACGTGTTTTTGCCCTTGCATTGCGGCGGGCGCGCATCTCCACCACCTTGCTGTCCATGAAGCCTCCAGCGCGGAAGTTCGGGGGAGAATCCGCCAGTCGAATCGGGGCCCAGGCAGGTGGATGGTGCTGTTCCGATCTACGCCATAAGCTTCCAGAGTGCGCCCATCCTCGCGCTCACAAATTGGGGACCCCCTTTGGTTGAGCGGTTGCTTGAAGAAAGTGGAAAGTCAAAGCCATGCTGGGTCTACCCCTTAAAACTATAAATCGCAAACCCAAGGCTTTTGCTTTCTTGCTCACGGTTGGTTTGCACTTCACTCCTGTAGCAATCGACCTGCAAAGACCAGCCGCTGGCGGTGCCGCTTGATGCCGCACCTCGCTTCGAGTGACGTCACTTCCGTCGGCTTCCGTCGCTCAGACCAGGGGCTTGGGTGCCAGAATCGATCTGAACTCCTCAATCCGCGTCTTCAGGTCCACATCAAGATGGACCTCGGAGTGAGGAGGAACGGGCCAAAACAGAAAATGGGAAGAGTGTGGGATGTACCCTCCCAACATGGAAGGGCACAAACCCCCTTCCCAACTAAAAGTAATCTTTCTACCAGAAATCGTGCACTTCCGTGGAATCGTCGGTGGGAGGGTAACTGAACCAAACTGGCCCTTTCGCTCTCCGGCCTAGCCCTACGCCCGGCTTCCGACTTCCAAGCTTGGGAAGGCACCAGGCTGCCATCAGGCAGCTTCACCGTGATAAAGGCCACCGGCCTCGGGACACTGTTTGAACCCTCTCAAGGTCCACTTATTCTAAGCCAAACGGGCAAGTTGGACAAACTGGTGTGGCTGACTGACTGAGCGACTGTCTGGCTGGCTGGCCGGCTGGCTGGCTGGCTGGGGCTGGCTTGGCTGGCCTGGGCCTGGCCTGGCCTGGCCTGGTCGGCTGGGGGCTTAGCACCAGCACAATGGTGCTAAGGGTGGAAGGGATGTTGGAAGTCCGCGACTGCCAGTTGGGTGTGAATTCATTTACGTGGAAATTCATGTCCAACCACTTGGCTGCCTTCCAAGAGGTCCTTGCAAGTTCTTATTTTTTGTGTGTGTAGGTGTGTAGGTGTGTAGGTGTGTAGGTGTGTAGGTGTGTAGGTGTGTAGGTGTGTAGGTGTGTAGGTGTGTAGGTGTGTAGGTGTGTAGGTGTGTAGGAGTGTAGGTGTGTAGGTGTGTAGGTGTGTAGGTGTGTAGGTGTG